TATTTTTTTTTTTTATTTTTTATTTTATTTTTTTTTTTTTTTTGGACATGGGAGAAAACCCGGATCCCTGGTTATAAGCCATCATCCACTCTAGGGACACAATGGCAGAGCAGTTCAAGTGTTTCACCACGATTCTGGAAGCATCAGGTGAAGTCCTACTCTGAAGTCATGTGAAAGGCCACCACCAGGCAAAACACCCATCAACAGGCAAGTAGTCATTCAGGGTAGGGTATCCAAAAGGCAGCATGTCATTATGCTAACCTTATCACTCCCCTGTATGCTGGTGGACAGAACACCTGGTGTGCCTTACTACCCCAATTACCTGTTAGGTTCCAGTCAGCCTCTGCCCTTCACCCACTTCCCATAATTACACCATAAGAGTTCACGTAAGCATCTGTGCAGTACAATACCATGCCTAATTAGGGATTAGATGACTTGAGACCAAGCACACTACTTTGCACAGGCACTTAAATCTTTTATTCAGTTTTCAGGAATGATCACAAAAAAGATTCTATTCTGCAATACCACAGAAATGTAAAAAAAAAAAAAAAAATGCCAGCTACAATTCAGAGTTGAGAGAAAGGGAGTATTTGCAAATTGCCACCAACAGTGCATGTTATTAACTTTTCAAGTTTGGAATAACTACACAACAGAAAGTGATTGTTATAATACAAGCTGCCACTGCAGCATTTCTTACACAAACAGTAAATATCAGAAGACATCCTTACCGAAGTTTTGATTCTCAGATCCTTTGGAGGGAGTTTTAAAGTCTTCTTCCAGTCATCACCAGGTCTACAGTAAGAAAGCATCAGATATAAACAAAGATACTAAATTATTTTGTCCATAATCGTGACTGGCGATTTACAAAATACATATCATCTTCAAAGCAGCAGCCTAGAGCCTCCTGTAAACCAAACATTTTCCCTGTGGATGACAGGTGAATTGTCTATTCTCTGTGAGCTTCAAAGGCAAAGAAAAGCATGACAAGATACGGATTAAAATTTCTGAGTTAGCAGATTTAAATCTCAGTCAAAACACTTACCTGCTCTCTAAACAGCTTCCATTTACATGGTGCACTGCAGAAGCTGCACCAAAAAAGTGACCATAATTAAAAGTCAAAAAGAAACAGTACCCAAACATCTCAGGTAATTTTAGTAATCAACCATCTCCACTGTCAATTCTGGCAACATTACCAACCATTTTTCCTCAAATACCTGCATGTATATGTATGTGTAAAGGTTTCTTTAATGGCTGTTCTCATTGCTGGAGGGATGAGGGAGATTGTATGAACTGGTATATCAGAAAATGCTAGTGAGCTATATAATTCTTTACCTTGCTTCCAATAGTACTAAGTACTTGCATGTACTGTCTTGAAAGACAAAAAACACAGAACTCATTAGTTCAACTATACAATGCTGTTTCACAAAGGAAAAGTTTCCTTCCCCTTTCCAGCTCACTGTGTCCAGTCAGCCGGAACCTCACATTTCTCAAGTTTTCTGAAACACAATACAAGTACTTCAACAAAAATTAACAGCTCAGCCATTTTTATGGACTTCATTTTTGTCATATGGTGGAACGCCATTCCAAATTTTTTCAAAGTGTTAAAAACAAGTTTCTACAATTTTCATTCCCTCAGTAGAGAAAGGAAAAATAAATTTTAAGTCCACACAAAAAAAACAAAACCAGGAATTGTGTTGAAAACAGTTCCCTTCTCCAGTTTCCAACAACCAAATTCGTAAGTGGTTTCAGAAATTCTTCATTCAGGGGTGAAGGTTAGACATTGCAATAGTTCCATGTTTGTTTTACTCAGACCTAAATTAAAAAGGTCATATTAAACTGAGAAGACCAACATGAATTTATGCCTTACGAAAGCCACTGGGAAAAAAAAAAAAAAAAAGGTTGGGTCACAGGAAAGCTGAGGGATTCCCTCCAGTTAAACCATGACATTGCAACATCTAACGAAAAACATCTGTTAAATTTAATATTATACATTAAACAAAAGGGAGAGAATAAAACTAATCAGAACAAAACGGCATTAAGGTTCATCACCTTGAAACCGCCAGCAACAGCATGGTACCTTGACCTAGGAGTGCATGGATGCCCATCTTTCCCCTGCCTCACTTAGTATTTAAACAAGGTGCTGCTTGAGGCCAAGGCTCTCAAGGAAAAAAAAAACAAAAACGCAAAACATAAAATGATTAAGTTTTGACATGTCATGTTACAGTAAGTTAAAAAGATAATTGTCAGAGAAAAGCACTAACCTGGAAAACAAAGCATATGCCATTTTTTAAAATCAAAGTTCACATTGCCAACATTATAATAAAGTAATAGCAGTATAAAAAAACCAGTCTTCAACACAAGAAACCTAACAACTTTCCTCAATATCTGTGGCTTGTTTAAAACACCACATACATTTACGTAAATACTTACTTAATAGTGGTGGTCATACTCTGTGCTTGCTGTTGAGTGCCATTATTGATTGTGTTGGCATTTTTCAGCTGGTTCATCTGTTGCTGAGTTTGCGTGCCCCCACCTCCTGGGCCCCCACTGGGTTTTACAGGGCCTCTCAGCTGCCCATTCTGACTGGATAGACCCATTATAACAGGGTTCTCTGTTCTCGCCGTGCTCATGTTTGTTTTTAAAGATGTCTTTTTAGACTTCAAAACTTTGAAAGTCAGTACAGAAACTGTAATAACAGTTTATAAGACTCTCCAAAATGAAGAGATAAATAAGTCTTGCTCAATATATGAGTCCTTTATTGCAATGCAGGCAAGCACCTGTAAGTCACTCAACAGTAAGTAGTAACTTGCTCTGATGCACTGTGGATCAACTTTTTAAAAAAAAGCCCTCTAACAAAGTTGAGTTATATCTGAATCACTCACTTCAATCTGAAAAAGAAGCAAACACACACAATTAGTACACGGATCTTTTCGTGTAAAAAACTCACATTTCCATATTTGACAGGACACCGCAAACTTTTGGTATGCGACAGCACTTCCAGAACAAGTACACACTACTTCAGATGAAAAATAAGTGCCACCAATGAATAGCGTTCCCCTTGTTACTTCTAACTGAACAAAGAACTATCATCTACTAGCACCGAGTGAAATCCTGATCAACAAAAACACAAAAACAAAGTAAAAAGCACAATAAAAATCCTACTGCTTTCATGATACTTCATATGAACTGCTGTGCAGACAGACATCCTGCAACACAGGCTCAAGTCATGTAACTGTTTTACCCATCTTGCAATAAAGCTGCTTTTGAAGAACAAAAGAAAGGGTTAACACCATATAATCATTTGTGACAGGAAAACACCACCACCAAATTTATCTTCTGGGAGGATTTGGGAGTCACGCCATTGCTTGAATCGCTAATTTAATACCTTAATGGGGAGAGAAGAGAGTGTACTGATCATCTGAAACAGATGTCCTGGGTACCTGTTAAGTCAGGGCTTAGGTTTAAACAAATAAGCTACTCGACATGCTGAAACTAACTGCTTTGCTCACACCAAAACATCCAATGCCAGCTTCCCGCTCTACTCTACTCTACGCAGACTTTTTAATGGTTAACTTGGTCCCTGCCTCAAATTAGAAATAAGATGCATTTGTTTTAGATCACTAGTTTCCTGTTTATTTTTTCACTGCAGTTACCTTCAAAATACCAATAAGTACACAAACACATGGTGTTCTCAGAGGACACATAGAAAACAAATGTAAAATGTAGGAGCACAGCATTAGGAAGGTAACTATAGTAAGTTAGTCAATACAGTAGCTTAATACACACTCACAATTTGCACCCTGCAAGTAGAAAAAAAGGAATTTGTTCAACAAACAGGGATGAAAGGAGCACAATTTGCAGCATGAAGTTAGGGGCTTAAAGGGCTACCGCCTTTTCAAAACACAACCTGCAAGGTTAGCTGTACACTTTCAGTGTCACTGAACTGCTGCACTTTTCAGTTAGCCAGTGCAAAACAGAAGGAACCTGTTGATCAATGCACTCTTCACATTGTTTATGATAGGTACATTCCTTCTTCCTGGGATAAAAACCCACCTACAAGATTCAAATATAACGAAGGGCAAAATCTCCCTCTGAATCTTCTGCCCTCTCTCATTTCACAAATGAATTTTCCAAATTAAAAAAAATATCTATTTTCCTCCAATTAGTCTTCCAGAGCAAAGAAGGGAATCCAGCTGATTCTGGCAGTGAGCTAAAGCAAACGCTAGTGGTTCTGCCAGACACACAGAGTAAGCCGGGATGAGTATTTGTTCCTTGGACATTTCAGCTGTAGGTACTCCAGGCGTTAAAAGGAAACACACAAGCGAAATCTGCGCAGACCCGCGGGCGTCCTTTCACCGGCGCGCGATGCAGGAGGCAGCTCCGGAGCCAGCGCGGGCGGTGGTCAGGCTGTCCCTGTGCGCCCCGTCACGGGGGAAGCGCAGCGACACGCGCAGCCCCTCCACCTCCCGCGAGACCAGGGCCCGGCGGACCAGAGACGCGAACAAAGGCCGCGCCGCGGGACCAGCCACCGCATCCCGGCGCCACGCGCTGGCCCGGCCGCTTCTCTCCTGGCCCCAGCCCAGGCCGGCCCGGT